CATTTTTTAAGCCTTTTACCACTTCTATTAGCTTCAGTACAATTTTTACCAGCATTTTCATGCTTTTCAACTTCACAATTTAGGCTAAGTTAAGCCTATAACTTCAAAGCTTAACTATTAATCTCCAAATCAGTTGCAAAATATTAATTTAGCTTTTAAGAGTCTTTTCACTACTAAAAGGCAAGAAAACAACCCCTTAAAACTCCCTAATTTAATTTATTTATATTATTTATTTATATTTCAAACTAAGAGAAATTAAGGTAGAATAGGAGCATAACGCTATACAAAACTTACTCAGTACGTGGTAGATTGAAACTAACTCCTAACACTTTGAATTTCTTTGCCATAACATAGAACCACTATTTCTCCTCCTCTCTCATGTTTTCTCTTCCTCTCCCTTTTGATTCCACAAGTTGGCCACACCCTTTAAAGCCAAATTTTTGTGCCACACACTACTATGCATGTTGTGGCTCATGGCACATGAGAAAACTCTCACTGTAATTCACACGCTTTACTTTGGTTCATTATTCTTTCACTCAAGCCTAACCGTTCAACATTTCAATTTGCCATCCAAAATTCTAATTATTTAATTAATCTACTAATTTATTAATTTATTCGTAATTAGAAATCAGTTTCTGGATTAAGAATTTAAGATGTTATAGTTAGCAAGCTTACTTACTCAATTGTTACAAAAAGACAACTTTCATTAGATGATTGAGGCCAATTAGGTTTTGAAGTCCTAAAACAAGCTTTGTTATCTGTACTTATTCTTGCATTGCTAGATTTCTTCCAACCATTTATATTAGAGACTAATGCATTGAGTTTGGGATGGGTACTATCTTAAGTCAAGGTGGAGACCCTTTCACCTTCTCCAAGAAGCTTTCACTATGTTTACAGGTTAAATCCGCTTATATTCATGAATTGCATGCCATTACTAAGGCCATTTTAAAGTTTTGTCATTATTTGATTGGTCACAATTTCATCATCCACATCGATCATCATAGTCTTCAACATTTGGTGTCTCAAACCATTGAAACTCCTAAACAGCAAGCTTATCTACCTAAATTGCCTGGATATAACTTTTCTATTGAGTTTCGCTTGAACTAGTCAAACATTATTGTTGATGCCCTATCGCGTACTTCATTTGAGGCTCTATCTATGGTGTGTTTTGATACTATCACTAATATTTTGCAGTATATTCACCACTCTGATGAAATCCAATGGCTTATTTAAAAGTTTTCTGATAACCTATCTTCTTTGACCAAGTGCTAAAGCTAAAATGGTCTTCTTTTCTTAAAAAATAGAGTGTTTTTACCGACTGATGAACAAGAGATCATTTATATCATTTTTCAAGAGCTCCACTCATCTCTTACTATAGGTCATACTGGTTCCTCCATACCTTTTCTTGCATTGTGTTCTACTTCTTTTAGCCTATATGCGACGTGATATATGTCGACTAGTTTTACAATGTGTTGAGTGCCAATAGGCTAAATCTTTTACCTTATAACCTACAAGTATGCTTCATTTATTATCGATCCCTTCATAGATGTGGGACCAAATTGCCATAGATTTCATAACTAACCTTCCATCTTTTAAAGGCTACTCTATAATCATGGTGGTTATGAATCATTCATCTAAATGTGCCCAATTTTCTCCATTGCAAGCTACTTATTCTGCTGCCCATGTTGCTTTTTCATTTCTCCATATCATAGTCAAGCTTCAAGTTTCCAAAGGCTATTGTTATTGATAGAGATCATGTTTTTACAAGTTCTTTTTAGTAACATATTTTTAAACTCTAAGGTACCATGTTACATATGAGCTCCTCTTATCATCCACAAACAGATGGCCATGCTGAGGCTCTAAATTGGTGTCTTGAGTAGTATTTACATTGCCTTGTCATAGATAATCCACACTCTTGACTCATTTATCTTCTTTGGGTTGAATTTTCTTACGACACGGCCTTTCATTCTACTATTAGTATGTCACCATTTAACGCTTTATATAGCCATGAGCCTCTTTTTGTGTTGAAAGTTGGCTTCTCTAATGAAACCCCATGAGATATTCAATGCCAATTGGTTCTTCAAGATCATATTTAGCTCAGTTACAACTTAATATTTCTAAAGCTCAGGAGCATATGAAATGCTTTGCTGAATCATATCGGTTGGAGGTTGTATTTACAGTTAGTGATTGTGTTTGGCTGAAACTCTAACCTTATCGACAACAATATGTTCGTTTCCATTCATCCATCAAACTTAGGCCTCTTTAGTTTGGGCCTTTTGTTATCACTCAACATGTCGGTCCTGTTGCTTATAAACTAGATCTTCTAAAATAGGCTCATCTACATCCAGTGTTTCATGTTTCTCTTCTTAAGAAATTTGAAGGACTAGATGATAGTCACAACTCTATCTTCAACCACTATACTAGATTGACTCTTGGTTACTCTGATTGATGTTATGGGCGTTTGCATGTCAGGGCGTGCAATTCATGGGTTGCTCAGTTGCTAATACGTTGGGCTAGATGTGCCAAGCTGACTTGGGAATCATTTGAGTAGTTAGTGAGATACCCTACTTTCAACCTTATAGACAAGGTTGTCTTTGATGGGGATGGCAATGTCATAGTTGTGTAGCCCACTTCTGATATTGGGACAAGTAAGGAAGCTGGGTCTATTGTCCATAACCCAATAATAACATAAGGTCTAGTGCGACGAAGTGAACGAGTCTAAAGTAGCATGTGGAAGTTGAGCGAGAACTTGGGTATTTAAGATACATGCATTGAAGGCTTTTGGCATGCAAAATATGATATAGAATTTCCTCCTTTTATTCTCTCTACTTTATGTTATTCTTTATGTTATGCTTTTTGTTATCTTGTTTCTCTGTACCGGATTTCCATTTCAGTGATCATTTGATTTTAATAATATCCTATGCATAATTTTCATTCCTTGTTTTGATTGTAAGTCATATCACCCTCATCATCAACCAACTCAACTTTCTCAATGGCGTTTTTCTACCTTGCTCTACCAACCCTTGTCATCCTCTAAAGCTAACAAGAGAGCCCTTTCTAATTAAGTTTGTAGGCATGCATGACCAAATAAAGGAGGAATATTGAAGAAGGGGGTGATGCATGATAGGCTCAAGACCCACGTGATGGCAAGTTTCGTGGCAACGATAGTTACAAACCCGGCGGACATGTTAAAAATAAGAGTGATGAACATGAAGGTCGAGGAAGGTAGGAAGTTCCACATTCTGGCAAGATAGATTGTGCCGTGAAGACAGTGCTAGCAAAGGGTTTGATGACGCTTTATAAAGGATTTATACAAATAATTTACAATAAAAAAATTAAAAAATTCAAATATTGGCTCACTAATAGAAAAATGAATGGAGCAAATAACAAGGTGACAGAATAAAGAATCTTTAAAAAAATATAAATGACTCATAATTAAATTGAGAGTCTTTAGTTGGTTTTTCATATACAATTGAAGGATAAAAATAACTTTTAAATCTGTACATAATTATAGACCAAGCTATGCCTTATATTTAGGAATATTCTCTCGGAAAATATAAAGTTGCCATGATGATTTTTTCTTTTTTAAATCTTACCTAACGGATCTGCACGCACGCACCAAAAGAGAATATTGCCTAATTGCAAGATATGCACGACATATCCACAATCTCTTTTCTGACCCACATGTCTAACAGGATAATTTAGCAAGAAGCTATGGCAACTAGCAGTAATTATCCTGGACTACATACATGGGTTTGCTTAATTAAGAAAGCGATTACGATTGCAAAATAAAGAAGAGAAAGAATTTCAATTAAGGATCAAGAGATTTAATTATTGGTGAATCTTAAAAAATTCTAAAATTTTAATTTAATTTAAAAGAGAAAAGTCAAACTAATTTTAATGATGAAAAGATCAAAACACTCTTCAATTATTATACAAAATCATTAGTTATTAATTTTCTTATTTCATCTATTAATTTACTAATATTACATGTAAATTACATCTGTCTATTAGAAAATTAATAACATTAATTATTAATTGTTAACTTTACTTATTAATTTACAAACACCAATTGTAAATTATAAAATTTGTCAGTAATTTATAACTAATATTAGTAAATTAACAAATAAAGTTAACAATTTAATAATTGATCTTGCTGCTTATAATTGAACAAATGATATTAAGTCTTATATAATTTTTGACATGTCAACTCATGTAATTTATAACTCATATTAGTAAATTAATAAGTAAAATAAAAAAATTAACAACTAGTAATCATGCATAATAAATAAAAAATATTATAGTTTTTCACCATTAAAATTAGTTTGACTTTTCTCTCCTTGATGGAACTGAAGTTTTAAAATTTTTTAAAACTTACTGATAATTAAAACTCTTTTATGGTACTTAACCGAAATTCTCCCTAAAGAACGACTGAAATGGGACGACCTACAGGCCAGGTCCACATTAATTTGTGTAACGGGCTCCTTCTACAGATTATTATTTATAAAAAAAAAGTGTCACACGGACGCGCAAACCAATTAATCATAACCGCAAAATAACCAATATTTTCAATTATTATTTATAAAACAAATGTATCACATGGACGCGCAAACCAATTAATTATAACCACAAAATAACCAATATTTTCAATCTTCTTGCTCAAGTCCTAATTTAGTAGCCTGATCACGAAGGTTCGGGCATAAACCCAGCAAGCTTTCACACCCAACAACTTTCCATTAACGTCTCGTTGGAGGCTTGTTAATCATATACTGGTTTCAATTATATTGAAGACATTGTTATTCAAATGTTATTTCAAATTTTCTGGTATCGTATAAAATCAAGAGTTGATTTGAACATAATCAATCAAAATTCACACAGCCAATATTGAAACCTGCCCTTTAGTTACATTTTATCTCCATGGACTAATTAAAAAAAAAAACCAAAGAAAGGAAGAAAAATGAATAATTATCAACATACTGAAAATCAAATCACAAGACAAATAAAGAAATAAACTTGACGTTAATAATCAAGAAATTCAGTAACTTCAATACCCGACCGAGCTACAAATTAAGTGATCATATATTCATATATATAATTTACAAGCCCTTCAAAAGAGGACCAATTAAGGGATTTATATCGCCCAAAAAGTAATCGACTCTAAATCTCTCTGACATCAACAAAATGAAAAATTGAGTCTCTTTAAATTGAGTTTGGCTAGTGATGGTAGGGGGAAGCTTCAAGGATTCGATTCTTTCTCTTCTGGAGGAAACTCTGCAGCGATCTCTTCATAGAGAGACCACTACTTGGGCTGTACGAGGGCACTGTGTTTGGTGAAGACGGCTCCGATCCGTTTGGTGTCCTCGCTCTTCCTTTCATTTCTCTGTTAGCAAGCATTAAGATCGATCTGGCCTGCACGCATAATCAATTCACACAAACTTAGTAAATATTCTTTAATCTTCTGAATAACCTTATTGCAGCGTCGATATATGAATATTCCGCACCCAGAATGAAACAGTACTCTACTTGTTTAATAGAACGTTTGTATTTATTAAGTCCGTGTAGAATAATATTCATATATATTGACCCAGTCGCGGGCGATTTTAAGGTCAAATATTGAGTCTAGCAAGAGATTTCAATTTCCAAGTCGAAGCTTCCAAGTGATTGCCTAATCCACACCAATCAGGGAAATGTCTAAAGCCTTCGTTTCTTTTGTTTATTGTTGAATTGATTGACCCAGCAAACTTTTGTAAACTAACCTTGTCGGCAAAAGTTACATATTTTAATTATTTTCCAAAACTATTCTCTCCATAAGTTTGGTTTATAACCGTCATAAGTCATAACACGGCCACCATCATTTACATCATGTTTCCTATATGCCCCACCATATTCTCTCTCTGCCGACTTCCTGGTCTAACGAATCCAGTAATAAAGCGGTCGTATCGCTAGAAATCGATTACCTTCATCTAACAAACCATCCTAACAGTAATAATAATCTAATTGATAATGCATTCATTGTATTTGGATTGGACAGGTCGAGAACGCATAAATACGGATCAAAGTAAGCTAACCACGTGATCACAGTCTTTTCTCTCTGTTTTTCCCTCTCAGAGAGCTTACCATTTGAGTTTGAAGATTACCCAGATGAGTTTCTTAGTGTTACATTATTTGTCAGTTTGGAAATACGCACCCAGAAAACAGAGTCCGAGGCAAAAGAGATAAAAAAAGGTGAAGAAATGCATTAATAGATACCTGAAGCTCGGTGACATCGCAAATACACATCTTGCCGTCGTAGAAAATGGTGAGCTTCTGCAGATTCTGCTGCGGGCTTTCACTATCTTGTTCAGTCCTACAATTTCAATAGAAAAAAGTTTGAATCCAAAAGAAGAAAAAAAAAAAAAGGACAGCGGAACAGTGAGAGAAGAGGGAAGGACGGTTTCGTACATCTCATGGAGGTGAGAGGAATCGCCGGAAGGAAAAAGACGAAGCTCCAGGTTGCAATTCCGCCTCATGTTTGGAGTCCGGACAGCTTTTACAGAGCGAGAGGCGAAGAAGAAGAAATGATGACAACCACGACGACGAAGAGAAGTTGGTAGAGATTAGATAGAGGGAGGAATTTATATACATATGAAGGGGGGGGAGAGAGAGAGAGAGAGAGTCAGTGGGTGATGCGAAACGTGAAAACAGGAATGGAGCGAAAAAGAACGAAAAGGCACGTGATTCATGCTTTTTTTTTTGGAAATTTAAAATAAATTGTATCACATGCGGAGCTGTGTGACCGCCACGCCTTTCCCACATTGCTCATTCGGCGTCCATCCTTGTCTGTTTCCGCTTCCCGACTTCCCCGTTTCTCTCTCACCTTCTTTATTTTCCTCCTCTTTTTTTTTTTTTTTTCTTCGCTCTTCGCTATTATTTGTTTATATTTTGTTCGGTATGTGGCCGAATCAATGAATTTATTTTCAAGATCATCCATTTCAATCCCAAAATAAAACTTATCGGAAGTGACTCGCTATTCATGAATCACGTCTGTATCTAATTTTTTTATATTTCATGCAATTTATTTCACAATATTTTTAAGTTTCTTGTAAGTTTTTATTCTTTTTAATCTTTAATTTTTGCGTATAATTTCAATAGGCTTGAATATCATAGAAGTTATTATAATTTTTTTCAAAAATATTTAAGGCATTATCTCTCCCGCATGAAAAGAAAAAATATGTTTTTAAACAATCACTGCAATTTTTAGATCTTAATATTTTTTTTTTCATTTTTTACTCGACGTACGGAGTGAACGTTGATTTGGAGGATAACATTATACGCGCAGCATTGTATACTAATTGTCATTATTATTTTCTAATTGAAAATTTCTTTAATAACAACAAATCATATAATTTGCCAGACAAAAAAAGATGCTCCCTTAATAGTGACTAACTTTTTAACTAATTTTATCTTTTTTACATTTATTTTTATTAAATATCTTATAATAAATATAAATTTATTATTAATAAAAATATTTTTTAAAAAAGACAATAATTATATTTTAAAAAATAAAAAAATTTTATATTTTTAAATATATAATTTTTTAAAAAAATATATTATATTTTTAAATGGAGTGTATATGAATTTCATGTAAAATTGATGGTTCAGGGTCGAATGAGGACTGTTGCTAGTCAGCAAAGGTTGGGGAAAGACAGACAAGGACGCAGACGCAGTGGAGAAAGAATGTAGTCCATGGATGAGAGGGTAAAACTGGAAACAAAATGTGAGGGTGCATGAATACATCCCGTTGGAATAATCTCACCGATGTTTCCTCTATTTTAAATTATAAAATATTTTTAAAAAAAATTTATCATCTTAAAATATTTTATATTTTTAAAAAATTAAAATTTTATTAAATAAATTTATTTCAATATTACACTTTTTTTATTTAATATTAATTAAGTGTGAATTTAAGGTTATTAAATGAAAAATATTTTTAAAATTTTACATTTTTATTTTAAAAAATAAAATTTTTAAGTGTATTTAATAAAAATTATTGATATATAAAATTTTATTTAAAAATATTTTATAATTTAAGACAGAATGAATACTTTTTCTATTGGATCCATTCAATTGGGTTTAATTTTTAATACCTTATCATCCTAACATTTTGACTAATTCTCTCTCATCAATTACTTCTTTCTACCATATAATTACAAGTTACTTTCTCCCATTGCATTTATAAATTTAATATAGTATACTGAAATTAAAAAAATTATTGATTTTATCTAAAAATTTAATGAATTTTTAATTTTATTCATATTTATGAAAAGATGAGTGAGAAGCTCTACAAAAATTTCATTAATGAAAAAATTTAATAAGAGGTGAAAAAAGTTTATTGTTACCAAAAAAAAATTTGATGACATATATCATAAGGCCTAGAGGGAGTATTATTTATCTTCCAAAAAAAAAAACGTACTGCCTTCATCCTTAAATCAAGTGTACTAATAGTTAAATAATTTATTAACAGTTGGGAAAAGTCACTAATAGCAGATGTGTCTAAAAAGATTTTATAATGCTTCATCTTCATAGCCGTAGAAAGGGACAGAGGGAGTGTGAATATGATTACGCACGAGCGACCAGCTGCTGATCCCAAAAATAAAATAAAGTGATTGCATTTACCGACTTAAATTTAAACGGTTGGGTATTATTTATTAAAAGATAAATAAATAAATTATTCTTTAAATTTTAAATTTAATATCATAAAACTTAAATTTTATTCATTGTGTAAGTTGTCCATTCAATTTTTTAAAGTAGTATAATAAGGTATATTTTTAATCATTTAACTTTATACTCCCTCCATTCAAAAATATAAAATATTTTTTGAGAAATTAAATATTTAAAAGTGTAAAATATTTTTAATTTTTTGAGGTGTAATCATTGTAATTTTTTTAAAAGTACACTATTGATGAATAATTTTATATTTGCTATAAGATATTTAATAGAGGTAAATATGATGAGTCAAAAAGTAGGTCACTATTTTATTAAAAAATGAGATTTGGATAAAAATGATTTACATTTTTAAATAAAGAAAGTATAAAATTTCAATTTAAATCTTCAATTTTATACAGTATCTTTTTAGTCATTTAATTCTAACATTTTTAATTTTAAATAATTATTTTTTATTAATCATTGTTATTTTAAAAAATTAAATTTAATATGTCATTGTCAATATTTAAAAATATTTTTTTAATATTTAAAAATTTAATGTAAAAATTTATTAAAATAAATTTAACAGTATTAGGTTTAAAAAACTAAAACGATACTTTATAAAATTAAAAAATTTAAATAAAATATTGTGCGAAATAGAGGGTTAAAAATATGCTTTAACTTAAATAAGTATAATATGGCATCTACTGTTAACCATAATTGAGTTAGAAATTAAAGTCGTAACTGAATCACAGGGAATCTGATTTGGCCACTTGGGTTTGGTTCGAGTTCGACTCTTACTATTGACGTTTCTTTTGAAAAATGAAATAATCGTGTTTAATTACTTTAATATCTCAGGTGGTTTGCTTGGACGAACCGAAATTCATGGGAATGATTTCAAATATGGGTTTGAGTTAACTATTCCTCCCCGTGCCACTCGTGCTTTTTTTTTTTTTTTTTTTTTTTTGCCAGAAGCCACCGCATTCTAGGCTCTTGCTCCAAATAAAATTTCCATTATTCGGATTCATTCAATTCAAAAAAAGTTAACGACGTCCTCATCTTTTGATTATTTTTATGTTTCATTTAACCCGAGTTACTCATTACTAACAATGCAAACATATATATATATTTTTTTGGCCAACAAACCTAATTTAATGTTGAAAAAAACAGCTTCCTTTTACATCCCTTGTCAATTGTTGGATGTTCTTATATTTCCCGCAAGGAAGTTTCCTAGCAAGTTATTCCTCTAATTCTACTTTTAGGGCAACAACAAAAATTGATTTTGATCTTACTTAAAGGGCACTTCACTATTTTTTTATATTTATATTTACTTTTTACTCTTATTAAATATTAGAAAAAATTATTAAAAATAATTCTTCTGTTTTGTATTAAAGGATAGATGAAGAAATTTATTAAATGTGAAGACAAAATTAATGAGGTTTAAAAAATTTTTTAATTTTAATAAAACATATTAAAAATAATTTATAAATAGAAAGAGAGAAAATAATATATAAGTTGTTAGGTTAATTTCCTATTTCATAGGAAGTTACAATTATTTTTTAGAGAAATATTTTTTTTTCTCATTTAGTTTGGATGATGGAAGGAAATTACGTAGAATTTAATTCGGTCCTGCTCAAGAAATTACTAACCGAACAACACTTCCAGGAAAGTCCAGGTTTCCCTCCCATAGGAAGCTTAATTGAACATCAGGATTTTAATTTTTAAATGAGAACATAAATTAAATATGTTGGTGTGTATGTGAGTGCTGAATCGAACTCATGGAATTGACCAATGAAAGCATAACACTCACCAGCAAGAAACAAGGCCGATTGGCGTTAAAACCCCTAATTATCGTTAATTCGCACAATTAATCATCGTGTTTGGTTGAAATATTTGTGGTGTGAAACTATCGTATATTAAATTATAATTGAATGCCTCTAAATTAAAATTCAGATTAAAGATGATACGTGCGCTCGCCATCCGTTTACCAACCAGCACTAAGAGCCTTAACTTCTAAAGACATGTATTATTGGTGATGCCTTTGCAATGGATGAGTCACAAGAGATGCCTTAGGCCTTGTTTGGTATGATGGAAGAGTTTTTGATGGAATCGGAATTGAAATTGAAATCGGAACTAGAATTAAAATTAGAATTGGAATCAAAATAGAATTGAGTTATAAATATATGTTTAGTATGAAGATGAAATCTGAATATAATATTAATAAATATATATATTTAAAATAGATAAAGATCAAAATGCCCTTATAAAAAAATAAAAAACTCAACCATCATGATGGAGTATGTATGTAGGACATTTATGACAATTCCATGGAATTTTGGCAATTCCATCATGATGGAGATGAAATTGAATTCTGAATATTTTGACAGAATTGAAATCCATAAAGAATTGGATTCATGCATACCAAACTATTGAAAGCATGATTCTAATTTCAATTTCATTTCTTTTAAACCCAATTCTAATGTATCAAACATGATCTTAATGATCTTTATTAAGAAAGAGTGTTTTGTTAATAGTGGCCGGGGTAACTGGGACGATTAGTGGGCAAACACTCAAGTAATTAGTCTCTTTTTTTTTCCGGCCAAATACTTTAGCTTATAAACAATGCATTCAATGATGCCTGATACATTATTTTATGAGAGAGGAGTTAAATGTTTAATTTTAGATACCTAATGTATTTTTGTCAAAATAAATCAGAACACGTGATTTTAAATTTAAAATTAAGTTGTTGGTATTAATAATAATTAAAAAAAATAAAAAATGCACGAGAAAATCTGATCTTGACAGATATCCGAATCAGCAGAGACTTTGCTGAATAATTAGCATTTGACGGCACGGCTTATTAGAAGAAATTTGTGAGCTGTGACAATCTGACAAGCTTTAATCCTAAATTAATTAAGCCATGTGATTTTAAATACCGATTCGCGAAGGCACAAATAAATAAGTCATTAGTCATGGCAGCATGTATTTATAGCAAAATATTCCCCTGGCACGCAATATCATGTATTCAATCAATTGTTATTTAGAAGTTTATGGAAATTAAATTCTACACGGTTAGTTGATAAAAAAAAATTATACTGTTAGTTTTAGCATCCACAATCAATTGTCTTAAAATACATATGCTGATATGCACTTGCGTGGTTTAAAAAGGATGTTAAAATAATGTAATTTATGACTTATACATTTATGTGTGAAGATTTTAACTTTTCTTTATAGAGCGATCTGCATCATTTTATTTTATTTGTAATAAATGTTACAAAAAATGTAGAGATCACCTTAAATCTTTTAATTGCCAACTTGTGTATCCTACATATGGCATGTCACAATGATGTACTGAGTTGGCTCCGCAGGGACTCTTTCTTACGCTTTCATCGGACCCAAAATGAGCCAAACACAGTCATGTGCTCTTAAAAAGTACAAAGAATATAATAAAAAATATTGAAAAACGAATAGTATTGTGTTTGCAAAAGGGGCTGATGACTGATGTGATGATACATTGAAATGTTTGCGTTTGACTCTTGTACAGCACACAACCCCTTTTTGCGATTTGTCAGTGAGGCCTCATCTTTATCCCAACACCATTTCCACGAGTCTTTATTCCTTGGATAAATTAGCTTGAAAAACATTGCACCTGAAAATTGAACTTTTAAAAATTTGAGAACATAATCAATTCATATTAATATATAAAAAATTTATTATTAAAAAAATTTAAATTTAAAAATTTATAAAAAAATTATTATTAATATATAACAATATATTATTAATAAATATAACAAACTAACTATAATATAAAATATAATAAATATTAAACAGTTTGATTAGTTTGGTTTTATAATATCTACTATATCCATGAACGTCCCTTGTTTCTTCCCACTTTAGCTATACAGTAGATGCTCGTCCCACCAAACTCTGATACCGTATCCATTTTTGTTGGGAGTAAAAAACACGGGGGAAAATGATTTATTTTTGGTGTGAACAAGAGCGGGTTAAAAAAAGTGGACCCTCCATTTTGTCCAGTTCACTGTGCACGATCTGTCTCTGGAGTCTATCATAGTTCATTATGATTGAATAAAAATTCCATGGGATATCAATGGGGATTATGTCTAAACAAAATCAAAAAAAATATTTAAATTTAATACTCAATAGTATTTTAAACAAAGTTGCTTCTAATAAAAAAATATTTATAATAAAAATAACTCATCAAAAAAAATAATTTATTATGAGAGATTAATTTTTTTGGCTAAACCTAACCTCGATTACATTAAAGGCATGTTTGAGTCAAAACCATCTATTATCTTTGAATAAAAATAATAATTATTTATCATTATTCATATGATATGGGGACTGGGGAGTGGGATAGCTTTAGAGCTTAATCCCTAAAAAAATTTTTATTGTGACTTTTTTTATTATTTATTGATATGTTATTAAAGTTAAACGAAGCCCTTACTTTTTGTGCTTTTGTCGTACCAAAACGTCCTAAAGCTTCGTCAATAATATCGTCAGTATTACAAGCATTAATTTGGAATCAAGGAGCGCAAACATTTGTTACCGTGGGGCGCGCAGTGGAGGATCGCCCCCACAAGGAGCCGTGGTTTCGAAATAACGTGGCAGTGACTAGCAGTAGACACGTGGCTAAAATCCAGCCACCCACACATAGCACGGGTCTTTTTCTTCTATTTGGTTTTTGGTTTTTTTTTTTGGTCTCTGTTTCTGGACCATCTCTGCAATCATCACACGCGCATTTTGGTGGTCCACTGATTCTTGGCGTATTCCATGAGAATTCCGTGGCTCAATATTCTAATTCTGTTACGGAGAAATCAAAAGAAATTTATACAAGATTTCAGAATCTTACATGACATCATTAAATTGGTATAGAAATGGCGGTTGGTTTTAGATAAGCATTAACGTTATTGATTCAAAATTAAATTTCACATGCTCCATAATTAATCTAATCACTATCAAATCCTATGCATCCATTAAAAGAAAACTTTTTTTAAAAAAAAATTATTTTGCTATGCAATTACTAACAACAACTTTTATAACACTTTGTTGCTAATTTAATATTTTCCCACAAAATGATTTCTCAGTAAAAGACCATCGATTGATTTAAAAGATATTAAGGAAACATGTCTTATTTCTTTCGAACCACAATATAGATAATAATTAACAAATTAATTATTTATAAATAATGTTAGTTTAAATTTTAAATTTTTAAAAATATCCACACTTTTTTATGTATGTTATCATTAAATAACTCTATATAAGATTCTTGATAATAATAATTAAAATTCAAAAGCATAATTTTTAAAAAAGAGTGATAAATAAAGGAGGGGTATAGTTGGGCAAATAAATATAAAAGTTATCCAATACTTTATATTTTGAATTAGGTAAGATTTTTAAAAAATATCTTACGTTATATTTTGGAAGGAGCATTTCCAATTGAGAGGAGTAAATTTAGATTTCAAAAAAAATATAAAATGTCTATAAAATTAATGGAACCAACATGTGAAGAGATTTGAGCCAACCAAAAAGCAAAAAAAGCATGAAGGGTCAATGCGGCGCCGCTTGAGTATCAGATCAGTAGAACGGTTCACCAGCCTGCTTGAAAATGCAAATTCCAAATCTTCTTCTTTTCACTAATTATGATATCCAAAACACAACGAATGCTTGTGTGTGAAGCCCGGGATGTTACTTTGCACTGCGCTCGCAGGTCATGTCTGTAGGTTGCCGACGTTCTGGCCAAAATAGCTGAGTTGGAGGAGGAATGCCCTATTGTTTTTGATGAACTTCCTGATGTTTGTATTAACCTAAGCTTGAACCTTATTAGGTCTGTTAACTACTAATCAAGCTTTTGCTTGCCTTGTCATATTAAAAAAAAAAACCAAGGCTAATTATTAAATTGGTTAAGATACTAGTTTAAGGGCTTATGGTTAAAACTATAAGCAAATCATGATCAAGTTTAAATTGATCATAAACAAAATATTCTATTAAATTAGTCTAGATACTAATGTAACGATTTGATTAGGTAAGGTGACTCAAATTTTCATACAGTAATTTTAAATATATTTCAGACGGGGTTTTATGATAGACAATTTTTAAACCAAACAACCTTTTGTTGGATATATATATATATATAGAGAGAGAGAGAGAGAGAGAGAGAGAGAGAGTTCTCACTTTGTGAGATTTATTATCCAAATTGGCAACTGTCAATTTTGTAACTCTAATTATTCAAGGTAAAAGAAAAAAAAGTAATTTTTATACGCTTGCGGTTTACACGAAAGTCCTGTTTTTTCTTTTCATAATAAAGGGCGTGTGTGACATCTCTAGTCTCACCAAATCACGAGAAGACCACGACAGATTTATCAACAATCAGTTTTGGATCAACGCGTCACTCAACAACCTAGCAAGATTCACGTACAGTTATTTTTGCGCTTAGTTCCAAATTTTACTGTACATGTTCTGGGTGTACACGCGTACATTTTCAGTTTGCCAAATGGAATTGCTTGAGAGGAAGATGAATTCACGCGAGTTCAACTGGCAAGTGGTAACCACAAAATGTTCAACAAATAAAATTCACTGTGGAACATAAAGTGAAACGACATAGTTCTGATAAGGAAGCATTGCCGTGTGCACCACCTCAACCACAAAAGACACGGACGGCACAAGACCTGCGATCGAATTAAATATCCTCCTGTAACAGAACTACATCGTGCAGTGAACAGAAACAACTTCGAAAGTGAATGAAATGTGGAATGTCCAAAGAAGGACCTTGTTGATGATATTTGCTGCTAATGTTCACACCCAAGTAGGATGTTTCTTGCCGTTTCCATCAGATTACAGCAACATAAACACCACCCTACTTCTCAAATTTTAATCAACAGAATTATCATCTTCATCATCAACATTGTTACATCATAATCGTGTTCATCAACGCACCAAATTTCATTCACCAGCGTAGCAGCACAAGGAACAATAGGAAACCGTTGGAAATTGAAGTATTCAAAAGATATCCAGGCAATGCAAATTAATGAATTATACATAGACAACAAAAGCTCATTATCCATGTTCACGACCACGGCCACTTAGCATCCCTCCATTTGAACCACCGATTACTAGAATTTATATCAGCCAAGTTACCCTGGTCTGTTCCTCTTTGTTGAATGTGTTCATTTTCACCATTAGATACCACTGTGCCACAGCATTGAAGTTTTTGGTCACGCATTAAAGCTTCTTCCCTGTATCTGGGATCCGTATACCGAGGGTGCTGGACAAACCGCACATTTTTCCACCACAGTTTCAGGGCCTGCAGAAAGCAAAATTTAAGATATTATGAGCCTGCTTGTTTTCTATTTTTAAAAACTGTTTTTTGTTTTTGAAAACAGAAAAAATTTAAAACTTGCTTGGTTAAGTGTTTTCCATTTACTTGTTTGCAAATTGTTTTCATTTTTTTGTTTAAAAAAAAAATAGAAACAACTTCAACTTGTTTTCGTTTTATTTTTCTTATTTTTAAAATATATTACATTTAATTATTGAAAATTACAATTATGTTGACCAATTTTTATCATAAATCATCGTCATTAACTCTCCATAATAATCACTATCAGTTTTGTTTTTTAATTCTAAAACTTTTTTTAAATTAACATAACCAAACGAATTTTTATTTTATTTTGTTTTAAATAACAATTCAGGAAACTATATTACAAAATAGTTTTTAAAATCAAAAAATAAAAATAGAAACCAAACAGGCCCTACGATTCAATCAAGAAAAAGAAAAAGAAATAACCCTTTATCCCCTTCTGTTAAATTTCAATAATGGGAGAGGGGCACCATTATCTAACCTCAATTTCCTTCCCTTTCTTTTCTTACCTTAGATTTCATCTAATGATTCCTCTCCCAACCCAACTCCCTAACATACCCTAAATGACCTTTTCAGCGCGGACCTTCTCACTTCTCAGATGAAGATTCCTCTCAACATGGCTGTCAATTTGTTTTTATGTTTTTAGACCTGAAAACCGTGCAGACCGGATTTGCAATAAATACATGAAAGCTAGGTAACAGAAAGATGAGTTATGTCACTTACATGCCAATATATCCACACTGCAACTTTATGAGGCATCAGCCAGAAGAAAACTGAATGATCAGGCTCCGATAATGAGCCCAATTTTTTGGCTTTTAGAGAGGCCGTAAAGTAGCACCCAAGCTCTGGGTGATGAACTGAGATTGCGACAGTTAAATAGTCTCCAGGATCACTTGCTCTAATCTTCCAACTTCCAAGCATATCCTACAATAAATTGGGGATATGCTTACAATAACAGTAAGAGATAAAACATTTCTGAAGAGATGAATCGGGGATATGCTTACAATAATATTGAGTATTAACTAACAAATATAATAGATAAACCAAGAGATGAATGAGACATTTAGTGCATGTACACGAAGGTTCATCTATCAATCTAAAGTCTTCCTTTTATCCTGAAGCTTCATTTCTCTATATTTCCCTAACATTATATATTCAGCCATATCATCAATCATAACTCTATGCTCTGCATTTTCTGGAGACCGTTCTTCGTATCCTTGGATGCGAAGATCATTAATATTTTGTTTGTTGCAAAACCTTAATGATAATATCAGTTAATGCTCTTCAATAACTCCCGTCTGCCCCTAAACCCAAGACCTGGCAGAATGTAGACCAAGGCTAATATTCCCAAGCCCAGTCAACTTTAAGGAAAGGCTATCCCTCCGATACATGCATACATACAAACATACATACGATATCATTCTTTTCCAATCAAAATACTAAATGAAATTTCAAACTGGAAATTCCATGAATTGTATGGATCAAAATTTGTTTCTAACCACCTTGACATAACATCAAGCAGAATACTCTGGCTGAAGCAATAAGTAGCATTCACCTATCTGGCCAAACATGAACAAGAGAACTCAAGGGTTCAAACAGGAAGAAAACTTTAACCTCATTATCTGGCCAAACACTGATCTATAACTCACCCTGAAAGGTCATGGTGGGTGATTCAAAAGAGAATGGCTAGTTTTCTTTAGCTTCAAATTTGTTGAGTTAGTCTCTAACCAAGTCTGTAACTAAATTTGGTATGTATCTCATCATATATGTAAATTGTTCCTTGGGTAATGCATGAACTCACTTCTATTCCCATTTCACTCCCTTAGAAAGTGAATGTTCTGTTTCAAGAAACACCAAGAGAGGTGTTTTCTCTAGTCATTCATCGGTGGAAAAAGAATCTGGATATCAGCAGACTACAAAGATAGTTTAAGTTTGGGATGTTGATGACTGCAAAGTGCGAACAAAAGTTACTGAATAGCACGCAGCTATAAAATAAAATTAAAAAAAAAAAGAAAAAGATATTGAGATTACAGAGATACCAAGTAAGTAACCAACAATTTCCCAATCCACCAAAAAACTATGATGTAATTTGAAATTACAAATGCCAAAGCTTAGAAAGCATACCATAAATGGACTGACATGTAAGGCTTTGGCCACCAGATCAGACTCGGGATTAAAAATAAAAGATACCCTCTCCCCCCATGGCGTGTTGGTAACCTGAAACAAGAAACAAGCATTACTGTCAACAAAGTATGACCCGAGTGATAATTTGTGAGCTGCAACTAATACAGGCATATAGCCTCTTCACTACATATTATGAATAGTGAAATCATGAATAGAGTAGGTTAAAGCCATACATCTTTATTGTTTATCACATGAGATGATAGAAGTTTTTTGGGTGTACAGTAAGCGTAACCTCAGATCAGTGTTTTGAACCATCTAGTGTGATCAACTCTATAAACTGCATCTCACTACTACACATTTAACATATATTACATAACTACTTTTCTATCAATTAATTGATAAATTACGTCACATTCTCCAAAGAACCCACCACATTGTTAAAATGTAAGGACAGTCCACGCAAATGATGTCATGTATAACAATTATATGTTGTCATGAACATTATGTACCACAATAATTACACATAGTACAAATCCTGAAGTATAATATAGAGAAGTCTTTTAAATTGAGAAAGAGAGCACGTAAGCATGCACCTCAGCAATGCACTTCTTCAAACGTCTAGAAGAACCTTCAACATCATAACAATAATACAAACTCAGGGGATTTTGGTCATATCCCACACTCGGAGGTATTGTCAAGAGCAAACTGCATGGATTGATTCAGCAAGAAACAATTGCAAATGAAAACCTCAAAATAATTAATCAAATTCGTTAATCCAACGTGGGAACAGTAACAACTGCAGAAAAAACAGAGTAAGGCGCATTCCAAAGAAGTTGAAAACAAACTTAAGGTAAAATGAAACGTTATACGGGTCCAATAGATCAGCGAAAGAGAGTACATGGGGCCAGTGGTATCTGTAATTTGGCGGGCTTCATCTGCAGAGAGGTGATCGGGCGGCGGGTGAGGGGAATGGTCAAGGTCAAAGAGGGCGTAGCGAACATTGTAGTGGAAGGAGTGGTGGACGGGACGCCGGCGTTGGTGCCAGACAGTGCCTTGGTAGAGAGAAACGGGCGGAGATAGAGCAGTGGCAGAGGAAGAATGCCGGAACCGACGCAGAAAGGTCTGAAAGGGAAGGAGGATAGAGAGAAGGAGAGAAGTGAGGAGAGTAGAGAAGATGGAGCACAAGAGATAAAGTATTTCCATTTCTTTACTGTTCATTCAGTCTCCTCTCTCCCGCTTAACTTCTGCGGATAGGATAGGGCCATAGGGGACCGTTTGCTTCTGGTTATTTGCTTTTCTAAAGCCAACATGAATGGTCAGAATTCGCGAATCGAAAACAAAAGCCAATCCTCAGCAGCTCTGAAGGAGTATCCCTTACATTATATTTTAATTTCAAAGGGAGAACGAAAAATAAAATTCAGATCTAAAGCAGAGTCAACTGTCAAGAGTGAGTTGAAAAAAGGGGCATTTATGATCTTATGATGCGCGTATTTTTATTTTGTTTCCCTCTTTATTCTACTAGTAGTGCCGGGATGTGGCATTTAATATGTGCATTACAGAACCAACCATGACATTTTCTAAATTCTTTATAGCCGATTCAGCCTTCTAGAAAATTTTCTTCTTATCAATATATCTTCCAAATATTAATTATTATCACAAGGCCCTCATGAAACATGATATGAAGGCTGACGTTATGAACCATAGTCCCACGTCACAGCTTACGGGACCTATTAGCGACAAATAAAAAAAAAAATTAAAATGCGCCGGTGTAACAAATTATTCATTTATATACCTACAAATTTTGCAAAATCTGGAAAGAGGGACCCTTTTCATTAATTAGGGGCGTTTCTTCCCAAAACACAGTAAAGATATCCTAGAGAGACAATTACCCACCGTACTTCATTTTGTTCAATAAATAAATGGCTCCGGATCCCAGGTTGCCCTACAAAAGACGGAAGAAGAATACTAGCAACGCGAAGTTATAATACATAGACAAACAGGCACAATCATTTTGCTGATTAGTCAGTAGTTCCAAAATATCTGATTTCTTCTAAAGTGTTTCCTAAGATATTTTAATATCAGATCCCTGTAAGTCCATTGCCTTTGTGTCTTGAATTCCAGAAATGCTTCTGAGCTCAAGTGAAAGTCCCCTTTACCCAAGGCCTCGAACACAAATGGATCGGTTGATACCTGGGGATAATCATCTGGGTTCATTTTATTCAGAGCAAAGTCCAAGTTTTTTCCAATTCTTCTATCCAAGTATGCATCAACAACACAGCCATAAGTCACGAGATCAGGAACGACATTTTCATGCATCATATGCTCAATACTAAGATGGAGGTCCCAGAATAATTGCATTCTTGAAAAAGCTAGAGCACGAATATTAAAAGTTGTCACATCAGGGCAGAATCCAGCTTCAATCATTCTCAAAAATTCTCTCTGCAAGCTTTTCATTTTAAAATTAGCGGCATATGAAAGTAACAGAAGGTTCCATAAAAGGTTCCCCTCATTCTTCCTGCCAAGACCAACATCTCTCACGAACTCACCCAATTCGTAGAACTTCTTCTCCTTCATATATGCTAAGGCCATTGACCTGATTGCTTCCTTCTCTATTAAAATTCTAGATCTCTTAAGGCGGCCATATACATTTTCCATCTGTTCCAAAGAACCAAAAATACTATAGTACTTAAGAAAGGTATTACCAGTCAAAGCACCAATATAGAAGCCCCTTGAAACCATTTCCTTCAATGTATCGTCCATCAGTTTCAGTTGGCCTCCTTTTCCAAAGCAAGTGATAGCCAATGAGTAAACATCTGGTAGTATCTCGAATTTCCTTGAATTCGTATATTGCAGTACCTTCATCACTTCATCAAAACGCTCATGTTTCCCATAGGCATCAAATAATTTTGAAATTAATTGAAGACTAGGCACAAAAGAACTATTTATGAGTTGGCTCCATATAGCCTGTGCTTGAGGAAAGAGGCCATTATCTGCATAATAAAGCATTAATGCACATAGAGTAGGCAATTTAGGCAGAAAACCATCCACGGCCATTTCATGTGAAAGCCCTTCAGGTTGCTGAGACATTCTTTTCCTACTTGACTTTTCCCGCAAAGAAGGGCAATCTACATTGCCATCCCTACTCCTAAAACGACCTGGTTGCTTCCGCCGCCAGATCATCTCCTTCAAGCACAAACAAAAGAAAATGGCATTGGCATAAGCACCAAACTGTGGTTGTTAATATAAGTCTAATAGCAAGCGTGACTTGCCTTTTCTCATAGACACATACAAGACCCAATTTTTCGCTCCATACAAGACGGAATGGTGGTACAGCACATTTTCTAGCTCTGCCAGACTCAAGTATAAATAAAGCTCTTCTACAAACCAAAAAGGAAAAAAAAATACAATTTCCACCCAGTGGAAGATGTTATTGAAGAAGCAAACTATAACATAACTGGATTGCGTTAGTACCAGACATCAGGACTCACAGAGGGCCAATCAATGATTAAAAAATGTGATCAAATACAAACTTAAAATGGCATAAATTTAGATTCAAAATACTTTCTATTTTCAGTTAAAGCTAATACTTAGTGACCACTGGTCTTCAGATGGTTTCATCTTGAAAAATTAACAGGTTTAGCAAGGGAAAGGGCAAGGGCATGCTTTGCAAATTTGATATTTGACAATGCTAAAAGATGAAAGGAAACCACTCGTCTCAAGCACAAGCGTATAAACAGAAGAGGAAGAATACCTTGCGCTCTGGAGAACTCTCGGAATCATTCTTAAGAGAGGAAACCAGTGAACGACTTGATTTTGCAGATGAGATGGGGTAGATGGGGCACGAAGAGGTGAGAAAAGACTTCACTTCCATTACTTGGAAAGGATAGAATGGCTGATATTTTTTGCCTGTCCAGTTAATAGTGGCTCAGATTCTTGCATTTTTCTTTTTCTTCCAAAAAATAAAAGTATGTGATTTTATTTGGATAAATTTGTGTTCCTTCATTTCTAAAATGACAAGGCTTGACCTTTATTACTCTCTTCTTCCCTAAACAAAATCATCAACAACCTTCATGTCTCCACTCCTCAACTTTGTTCCCAGACTGAAAATTTTAGAAAATCTGAAATCCAATTCTTCTCTAGGTTCGTTCTTCTATTGTTTCTTTTATGAGTTTTCTAAGCGCCCCCTCAAAAATAAAAAATATATGTTCATTTTTCTTCAATTTTTATCTCATCAAATGTTATTTCAAAATGTTTATCCCTTTTTTATGTATATCAAATACTCCCTCTGTTCCAAATTATAAGACACTTTTAGATAAAATCACACATAGCAATAAAGCTCATTAAATATACTTTACAACCTTACTTTTTTAAAACAAAAACATAAAATTTTAAAAATACCATCCATTTCATACTCCATTTGTAAAAGAATATTAAAAGGAGAGAAAATATAAAAAGGATAATATTGAAAAAGAAACATCATTAATGAAACTTTATTTTTACCAAAGTGTTTTACATTTTGGGACGCTAAATCTGCCCCAAAAATGTCTTGTAATTTGGGATAGAGGTAGTATTATTTTTATACTGATTTTTTGTTCTCTTTTCTTTTCCATTTTACTTTCCATATTAAAAAAAAAAATCCGCTTACATACATAATTTGAGTTTTTCTTCATTGCATTCCTCTATCTTTACCCTAACATAATAATAAGCAATTCAGCCATATCATTGTAACTTTATGCCACCATTAATGAAGAACACTCTAGGTAACTCCTATCATTGAAGAAAAGATCATTGTCCGGCAGAAAACCTTGATGAGAATATCTGTTGGTGCCCTTCAATAATTCACGTTGCCTCCTTAAAATGTATCACTCTCTTACAATCAGTAGTTAACACCAATACCAACTGTCTTCCATGCATTATATGGATCAAACTTTGTCACTAATCACCCTGAGATACCCCATCAAGCAAAATACTCAGGCTGAAGCGATAGGCAAATCCCCTATCTGATAACACTGACAAGAGAAACCAAGGATTCAAAAAAACGTTTGGGGGGGGGGGGTTCAAGCTCATTAACTGGCCAAGCATCCATGTAACTTGTCATGATAGGTTAAAACACAAATACATTTTTTTCTAACTTCAATCAACTAGCTAAAAGTAAATATTTTATTTTGTTTCAAGAAAAACCAAGAGAGCTTTTTTTCCCTCTTAGTTATTTATCAGTTGAAAGCGAACTTGGATCTCAGAAGACAAGAAACATGGTCTAAGTTTAGGATAATTGACCACAAACAAGTTAACAAATAGAAGGCAGCAATAATGTTAAGAGAAAACATATTGAGATTATGGAGAAAACAAATAGCCAGAAATTTCCAAATCCACCATAGAATTCTCCTATGAATTCAAATTGTAAATGTAAGAGAAAAGATAAGAAAAAAAAACACCATTAATGGACGGATATGTCAGGCTTAGACCATCAGATCAGACTCTGGAGTAAAAATAAGAGGTACTCTCTCCACCCATGGCATGTTTGTAACCTGAAACAAGACAAAAGAATCAATGTCAGCAAAGTATGACCCCGTTGATATGGCAATAATTTGTGAATTGCAATTAATACAGCCTCTTCAGTGCATCATGTTCTGATTAGTGGAATCATAAGTAGAATAGGCTAAAGCCATCACATTCGTTGTTTGTCACATTAGATTATATGATGTTTTTTTGGCGATACAGTAAAGGTCACCCCAGGCTAGAGAGTTTCAATGATACAATTTGGACAACTCTACAAACTATATCTCACAAGAACTAAAAAGCAAGAGGGAAAGGGAGCTCTAGATTGAATGGTTATAAACTAGAATATATTTAATGTAACACTCGAATGCACTTTTCTACCAATTAACTGATAAGTTATATCACATTTTTCAGGGAACCCAAGATACTATTAAGAGGCAAGGATAAACCTCACTAAATAAATTCATTGTATAATGATGTTGGATACTAAGTGATATTGGATTTATACAGTTTTGAACCAAAGATATGGCATGAAACTAGCTCTGTATTTGGAAATGAGATGCTATAATCTTAACTGGGTATCATCACACCTATATATTTCTGCCAATTTAATAATTTCCTCATTGATGCTGGTCTTGTTAATCCTGTATCGACTCCAAAATTTTATGTGTCTTAAAGGGAGATTCTGCCATTGATGGTATAGATTTTCTTTAGGGTGAACCAGGCTGGTTATAAATTTTATTATATATCTATATGTGAATACGAGAATGACAATTTATTTAATTTCCTTCACATGACTGCCTCTGCTCATTGTCATCTTGAAAATGAGAGTAGAATAAGTATTAAACCCCTTTTGGATTACAAGTTAAATGTTGTAGCAAGTAGATGAAAAGGTATTTCTTTATTATCAGTTTATTGCATTTACCATTGTAGAATTTCACTACGTGTAAGGTGGTTACAGTTATAGACTTTCACTAAATACAAAATCAATGAAAGTAACAAGTCAAGTAGTCAACATATTACAAAGGAACAAGGCAATACAATACAACATACGAAACAACTTAAACAAGCATAACATTATGTTCATAAGTTCATGACTTGTTAAAAATTGGTGGATCCTAATTAAGCCAAGCATGAGTTTCCTAAAATATATTAGCACTGTAACTATCAACATCTTCTTGGGAAAAAGATTCCAAATCAAGCCCTCCAACGCCAGAGCATCCATGATTTTAACAAAGGCCAAAAGGCCAGACAAAATCTGGGAATTTACTTTTTCGTGAACCTTGCATGATTCAGCCATGTTGCAAACAACATATGCTCCCGCCATAATTTAAAGAAAGGTACAGGTAATTCATATTACAAATGGCAAGGCCTCGGCAATTTCACAAAGCTCAAGTGAAATAAAAGGATCAATTAAACGATATCCAGAAGGCATCGGCAATTTATTTCTCTGTTTAATTAATCAGCAACCATAAATCTGTCTCTTTGAACACTCAATGATAAATATGAGATGAATAAATACACCACAAAGCAATTTCCTTATTTGTTCAGTCAACCGAAAGACGAATCCCATTATGCAAGATTACACAATTCAATATATATATATACATATAGAACAGAAAAAGCTGTCAAATTTTACATAGAATAGAAAAACTACACTCAATATGACAGCACCAAACTAACTCAATATGGCTCGAATTCTGTACCTTGAACCTCGAAGTCGAAGGAAATGCCGAGAGGCGAGAAGTCGATTGGGGAATGGGGAGGCAAACGACGGAGGAATGACGGACTCGCGGTCCGAGGCTCGGAGCTCTAGAATCGCGAAGACTAAAGACGCGAAGTCGCGAACTGTCTGAACTCCAAACTGAACTCCGAAGTCTGCTAATCTGAAGTGAGGGAGAGCCGCGGTGGAAAAGGGTTAGAAATGAGGGAAGAGAGGGGGTTTTGAAGATGGGGGCATTATTATCTTTTAAGACATGAAGTAAGTAACAAAAATTATATATTTAATTTTATATACTTAATATTTGTTTATAATTAAATTAAGACACATAAATATTTTATAAGAAAATTTTGTTATTAATATTATTGATGTATTAAAGTTCACTTATCATAATTTAATTAAATAAAAATGTATTAAATATATAAAAATAATTACATAAGTCTATTCTTTAAATAAAAATAATACCATGATTTCATGTGGGTCACGTTTTCCTCTAAGAAAAGGAAATATGTTACACACCAAATTTTTTTTTTTAAATAACTTAACTTAACCATAGTTGTGTTATAGCCACCCAACACATTTTTATATCAATAATTTCAATATAAAATATTTTATAATTGGCTTCAACTCACACAATATAACATTTCAGATAAATATTTACCTCCCAAATGCCATTAGGCTGAATCACATTTGTCAATCCTTATACTCCCAACAAGTAAACTAAATCACATTTGTCCATCCTTATACTCCCAACAAGAAAAATAAATAATTTAGTCAATTTTCAACACAAGCCAGTTATTTGGCTTCATAATCATGCCATTTTAACCAAATATTAAAATTACAGTCATTCAAAATCTATCAAAAATAGAAATAGTTTGAAAGGCATGATTACATTTATATATTCATATAATTGTTAATAAACAAAAAGCCCTAATATGGGCAATATAACACATTATAAATCATAAATCAAATACCCAAAAGAGACAGTGGATCTATGCCACTAAGCCTCTAGGACTCCTCTACGTGTCACTTGTGGCTCTTCTCCTGAAAATTGTTAACCACATAATGAGACTCAAAAGTCTCAGTAATCAAAGCCAATTTATGATAGTATATACCAACAGTTAAGTGTGTGCTTATTAAGTGAGAATTAAAAATAATATAATTCTAACAAATATAAGAAATATTACAATACACACAAACAACCATCCTTATATCCCTCCATTAACCTCGAGCCGTAGCCCTCACTCGGTGCTAAATTACCCGGCCAAAGGTAAATTAGCCCAAGCCCTTACAAGCCACCTATTGAGCTCCAATAGGGGCGTACCACGTGGCACATAACTACAACAATAATAGTAAGTCTCCCAACACCTCCCACAATAATCAAACAAATTCATAATAATATTGCACAATTATACAATATTACAAAATTCATAATTTTCTCAATAATCACCCAATTAACATGAAGTAACACTAATCATAAATTAAAAGCATGGTTACCTTTGTGGCTTTTTCAATAAATTATTCCTTACAATTTCTCTCCTACCATAATTTTCACCAATAATACAATCTATAAATAACATATTATTTATAAATATTAGTTTCAATTTTTGAAACTAATAAAATAATTCTAATAATAGAATTAAAAATATAACATAATTTCTAATCTCAATCTTAATACAAATCTAGAGTCAACACTATTAAGTAAAATTTTTAACTCTTCTTTTAATTATCAATAAATATTAATAATCTAAAAATCAGCTTCTAAACTAATTTCCATTATCAAAATTTTCTTTTTATTTCATAAATTCGTACCTAAAATATCCAAAAATTAAAAATTGAGTCTCTAGCTTAGAATCATAATCCTATAGCCATAATAATTCATTTTTCATCCCAAATAATCATCTAAACCTCAATAAATCAACATATATTTTCAGATCTAGTTTAGAATTTGATCCTTAAGCCACAAATTCAAAGATCATCAACAAATTTATATTCTAGAACATTTATTATACTACTAACAACCTCAAAAATCATATTTATTCAACATAAATTCATCTCTCTTCCAAATCTTAAATTTTCTACCACCATAAAATAAAAAACCAAAGAGGAAGAATGACTAAGAAAATTGTTTAGAACACTTACTTAGTCTTGAAAAGCTTAAAATCACACCCTAAATATCCTATTAAAAACTCTTACCTTAAAAACTCAGATCTCTTGCACCGGCGAAACTAGACGCTCTCTCAGCCTCAGCTCGCGCATAGGGAAGAATGAAGAAACGAAAGAAACGGGTGAGTTTTTATAAAAATTCAGTGGGTCCCACATTTTTTTTATTATTTCTTCTTTCCTCTCTCTTCTTTCTTTTTTTTATTATTTTATATGTAATCATTACGCGGCCGCCGAAAGCAAACCCGTTCTTCTTCTTCTTCTTCTTCCCTTTTTTTAATACCTTTTCTTTTTTTATTATAATAATAATTTAATAATATTTTTTATTATTTATTATTATTTTTTAATTAATTTTTTTAATTTTAATTTAGAATTATATCTTAAGTTAGATTTAATAATCATCTCCTACTAATTTGCTTACCTCTAAATATTTTTTTTAATTTTTATTAACCCAAATTAACTATTAAAATTTAAATTGAGATGTTACAAAATAGGTATGCAAGATGTATTGACCCTCAATTATCAAAGTCCCGTTTGGCCAACAAAAAAAAATTATCAAAGTCCCGCATTTGAATCCACTCGAACCACAAAAGAAATAGATATTGTGTAGGTATCTCTATTTGATTTAAAAAAAATAAAAAAAAAAGAATCCTCTCCTATCATGAATATCAATTTTTTTAACATAAGTCTCTCTTTTTCTTTGTTTTTTTTTACGTAAATTTTGGAGGTAGAATTGCTTATAGATACTTATAATACAATTAAATATGTGTTTGGATTAAAAAATTTACAACTAAGATTAATATTCAACTAAGATTAACAAACTAAAATTAAAAAGAAAAGTTAGCAAATATAGCATAAGTTATGTTTGAATACCTTTTTTTTAGAAGCCAGTTACACCAATTGAAATTTCTTTGAATGATTTTATTTAAAAGCCAGTTGAAATATATAATGACAATAATAAACATAAATTTACTTGTATATATTTTTGTGACTAAAAATGTGAAACAAATTATAAATTAAATGCTAATTTTTAATCCATGTTCTCACATATTATTATAATTATGTTTTGTTGGCGGCACCGGCGGGAGACGTGAACGGCGAACTATGAGCTGCTTGAATCGTGTCCGGAAGAACACTGTCCTTAAGAACTATTTCGACACACCGAAATGACGGACCAGCAGTTTCCTAGGATTAAACAAGTACTTCCTGTGGCGGAGTAAGGGAATAGAACAAGAGAGACTAAAAAGCAAACACAGACAACAAACACAGGAGCAGAAGGCAGAGGGAGGAGAGAATTGCCCCAAAAACTCAAGAGGCTTATGGTCGCTCTGTCTGCACCCATGGCTATATATAGCCCGAAGGTGGAGACATGAACGTTGGGGAGTTACCACCGGATTAAAGGCTCGGTTACACTGTCATAAATACTGTTTAAACACTTGTCTGGAAACATTGGGGGGTTACGTAAACGTAAAATACATTTAACCTCTTGTCTGAAAACGTTGGGAAGACAAAACATTTAGAAAATTAATCTGGTTAATGGTCAAAAAACGTTCTTGGTTTGATTTCAAACTTCAGACAGCAAAAAACTGAGCTTTTTCGGCAAGCCAAAAATAATTATTTATTTTGTAAAAATAATTCGGTAAAAGGAACCCATTACCTCTTGAACTTGTGCGCGGGGGGCGAATCGGCTGATTTCAACTGCGATTGCCCTGAGTTGGCCTGTCTCATATGCACAAGGCCACTTCTCCTCCAAACTCATTTTACTAACTCACTTCATTCCTTAGTATATATGCACTAGGAGATTCCTTCTTTTAATCAATATGAGACTTTGACACACACACACACTTTTGACACACATACAACATGTTTTAATGTTGTAATTTAGAACATTCATATTTAGAAAAATCGTAGCGTGTATTATAATATAAAAAAATTATAGTATAATATTATAATTAATTTTTTCATCTTTTTAAATGTCCTTTCTTCATCCTCATTCACTGTTGTTACCCTGCATCCCTCCTCTTTAATTAACTCCTCTTCTTTCCTAAATTAATTAGGTATTATTTGTAAAATATAAAAATATTAAATAAATTAATAAAAAAATAAAATTTAAAACTAAAAAAGATATTGAAAACCATTATTTATAATTATTAAAAAAGATAAAAGATTTATATGTTGTAGATAATGTATATAATTAAATATATTTAATAATTTTTTTTAGACACAAGTAGAGAATAAAGACAATTACATATTTTAAGGAACAAAGAGCGAAAAAAAAGTGAAAGATGAAACGGTAATTGGAAAATAAAAAAGAAAAGAAAACCATGAAAGAAGAAGAAAATAGATGAACCTACCATTAATGCTGTAAGCTAGTTCCTCCAGCTTTTTGTCTAACAAGCTTTTGGAGGCAAAAGCTATTTTCAAAATTTCTTAAACCAAACAAGATTTGGATGATATTTTTTATTCAACTTGAGTTTGGGTTTTATTCAAACATGTACCAAAAATCATGAGAAGTCCATTAATTTATTAATAGATGTTTTGTGTTATGTGAAATTTTGAGAGAAGTTGGCAACTTTATTTTTAATTTATTTATAGACAAGGTAATAGATCTTCATATATTTATTAGCTCAGTTAACACATACATTGACACTAATTTTTTAGTTATTTGATCTACTGCGCCTAATTGTTTTGAGGTGGTGGATGAAGACGTAGGAATGTTTTATGTATTTAGACTTGTTTTTGTTGTTTTCCTTTCAGATTTAGTTGATTAATATATTTCTCAGTTTCCACTTGAGAGAGAGAAAGTACATGAAGAGTATCCACACCAGAAGCTAATACTAAATAGTCAATATTGTGATATAAATAATAATAGTTTGGCTCCTTAAATATCATTTCAACATTTGATTTTTAAAGGTGTGCAAAAAAAACATTACTTAAAAAAATGACTCCTTAAATAATACTCAAATTCTTTCAGGTATTAATCTTACAACTATTGATTATAAAGATATTTTAAGCAACAACAAAAAAAGTGAATATCATTGACAATGTGGGTTTTTTTAATTAAAAAA